GATGGGAGTGTCAGAGAGTGCGACTGGCACAGGACAGAGTGGAGTTTAGGGCTGTTGTACATAGGGTCGCTATGAGTCGCAAGCGACTCGAAGCGACTCGACGGCACATAACAACAACAAGATTAGGTTCATAAATTAGGAAGTGAGGATCAATGAGCATGTGTGGAGGTTAAAAGTCAAGGGGAGCGAGAGTTCTAAAAAAGATTTCAGGATCAAATTAGGTCAAATCAAGTTTGGTGATGTGGATCTCAGGAACGTGGATCAAGATTGCAAGAAAGAAGAGTCTGAAGCTATTGGGTTAAAAAACAATACTAATAACAACTAAGATAAAACTGGATAGGGGTTTATTTAGTAAAGATTAGGATTTGGAGGTGGTAAGAAGGATAAGAAGTCAGATTTAGAGTAAAGGTTAACAAATAGCATCAGATCACTGACGAATCAGAAAAACGATCTTTCAAAGATCACTTATCAGAGGTCAGATCCATGGGGTCTGTTTGGGAGTTTAAGGTTCACTCACGTGTCTCCATCCTCAGTGACGTAGCCGAAGACGAGGGGAACCCACGACAGTCCCGAGCCCAGCTCTAAGCCCAGTCCTGGTCCTCCGGGTGCTGCTGCGTCCGGACCTAACGAGCCCAGGCCACTATCGCACCACTCGTCCGCATCTGTGGCCTTGCCCAAGCACAAGACCCCGGCCATGGCCCCCTCTCACTGCGTCGGGGCGGGGGTCGGGGCACCGGCCAGAGGACACCCGTCAGCCAGACTCTCGCTGGGCTCTGCCGGGAGCTCTGGCGCTTCCGCTCTGCGGGGAATTCCCCAACACTCCCCGCTACTATGTCCAATAAGAATGAGCTAAACCGCTTACGTCCCGCCCTCTCTGGAATCGAAATCAATCAGAATGTTCAGGAGAACTACAGCTCTTAACCCATTCCCACATTTTCCGGAGCCCTTTTCCATCATGACTGCTAGCGCGCAGCCCTCTGGAACTCATAGTCGAGTCCTGGAATAGTTAGTTGCCTTAACCGGAGGGACGCGCTCAGTTCGTCGAATCTCTTGTCTGCGGCCGCTATGGTTTCTGGGAATTGTAGTTCTTCGTCCTTCCCCTGCCCCTCCTCTTCCGTTGCCGTCACGGGACAGAGCTTTCGGTGACAGCCCCAAGGGCCCCGGCCCCGCGCCCATGGCTGAGCCGGACCGTGAGTCGAGGGCGATAATGGGAGGTCGGGCCGCGCCGGAGCCTGGTTGTGTGAGATAGGCCTCGGGACCCGAGTAGCACTGCATGAGGGAGGGGGATTTGAAAGACCTTTGCTAAGTTGGTGGGTTTCTGGGGTCGCTTCTTTCCATTGTTACTGACGATTGCATGTTATTTGATCCTCATTGTTAAGGGTTCTCGTTGTCCCGTTTCGCTAAGGTTACCTGGTTGCTAGGGGCAACTGTAGGATGCTAGAATCACTCCTGATTCTTCCCTCTAATCTGTGCTTCTAAACCTCTTACATTCTGTATTTCTAAACCTCCTTCCCTAAAAGATCTGCTCTCCCAAACCCACCTCCCAACCAGGGTATCCTTTCCTATTTCCTATTTCCTCTTCTAAATTTCCTCCACCCTATAAACCTACCCACCTCTACAGGAGCACACAAACGCACACACTACTATGCCCTTTCTAATGCCTACTAACTCTTTTTCTATACCTGTGTCCTTTCCTTTCGCCCATCTTTCCTCCTAAACCAACTTCTCCCTTGCTCCTCTGTCTTAGTCGCCTCCCTTCCTCCCTATTCCTCACCCTTATAGAACTAGATTGGTGGGTCTCCATGGTGGCTTTATACCACTTTGAACCCCTTCCTTTTGCTGTAACCATCCTCCCCGCACTGTAACCATGTCTGCCTCCCCTCCTCCCCCAGCCTCTGACCCTCTGGAGACCCAGGCAGGGAAGGTGCAAGAGGCTCAGGTGAGATGGAGGGAAAGGGTGGATTGGAGGGAAGAAGAGAGAGGGATTTACTTGTTCTTACATCCCACTCTGGGGGAGGTGGTAGAGGGGAGCCAGCTTCCCCAGGGCCCCCAGCTCTCTATCCCAGTCCCTCTCTCCAGCCCAGAGTGCAGCTTCCTGGGGTGTGTTGGATTCTGGGACTATCAGAGAAATATGTGGAACTCCAATCCCAGGATCCCAGGATCCTAGGTCTGCCCTCCAGGGCTCCTTGCTTCCTTCTTCCCTCAGCTCTCACAGGGAAGTCACTAGAAGACAAGCCTAGAAGGGGTTTATTGGAGTGAGTACCTTGGGACACTATCAGAGCCCCTGAGTAAACTTTGTGTGGTCACAGTTTCCACTTAACCTCATCCCTAGATGTGGTCTGGTCTAGGCATCAAACTGAGATAGTGACACTTGTATTAAGTGGAGTGACTTAGAAATTCCTGCAGAAATTGGCAAATGACATTCCAAGCTGAGGACATAGCTTGTGCAGAGACCTTGAGGCGTGAAAGACTGTGATGTTTTCAGTAGTTTGATGACTGGGAGATAGTTAGTGTAGTTAGGAGCCATGAGTTGATTCTAATTCATGACGACTCCATGTGATCGAGTTGAACAGCACTATAATGTTTTCTAGGCTGTGATCTTTACAGGAGGAGATTGACAGGGAGATGCTGAGTGAGTTCGAACCCCTAACCTATCAGCCAAGCACTAGTCGGTTGTACCACTAGGACTCCTTTGGCTGGAAGCTTACTGTGTATGAACCTTTCTTCCTAGTGATGTATATGTGTTGCCTGATTTGATCTTCGTCACAGCTCTGGGAGAAGTATGCCCATTGTATAGATGATGCATTTGAGACAGAGTTGATAAGCAGTTTGTCTTCTCTCTGTTGACTAGAAGAACAGGTAAGGGTTTGCAACTCAAGACACTCAGCATACTGTCTTCCAGATTAAAGTGGGAACAGAACAGCCTTCTAGAAGCTAGAAGGCCATGGCCAGCACCTCCACTGCCCTTGCAGGCAGAGCAGCGTCAGCTGGGCAGGGCCCTGGAGTCCTTCCACAGAACCTCTTTGTCTGCAGCCCACCCACAGATGTGAAGTTGCTTTGCAGATGTAGGTCAGTGTAAATGCTGTGATTAAAATGCCTCACAGAGGCCCAGCAGAGCAACGCTAAGGGTATAAGGGTTTCCTCTCAGGCCAGGGTTTCATACTTCCCTGGCTCCCCAAGTACCACCACTGTCATGTCCAGAGAATAAAAGTGTAATATTAAAAAGCAGTTTTCAAATCCAGAGAGAGAGAGAGAAATGGAGTTGTAAATCACAGCATTGTCTGCAGTAAGGCAAAAATTGGAAGCAGCCCAAATGGCTGTAAATGAACTATGGTTCATCCATACAATGCAATATTATATGGTGGCTTAAAAGAAGGAGGTGCAACCTTAGACCTCACCCAACCTAATGTACTCAATTTCAATTCATGGCAGCCCCCCATCAGGTTTCCTGGTCTCCAAATCTTAAGGGAAGAACCCTAAAGATATAGAAGGTTAAAGATTGGGCTATTAACTGAAAGGTTGGCAGTTCTAATCCTTAAGATTTAAAACATATTGCTACCAAGATTATTCTAATCCATGTTGACCCTTCTGTTGGGTTTCCAAGTCTGTACATTTTAACAGGAGTAGACTGCCTCATCTTTCTCCTACAGAGGAACAGCTGGTGGGTTCGAACAAATGATCTTTCACTTAGCAGCTTAACACATGCACTTGAGATGACCTGTTTCTATAAAAATGGAACTTTTTTTAAAGAAAATTATTTTCATATAATAATACCTTTACAGTATTTTTCATTCATATACATTGGTTTTATACAATCTTTCATTTACATTGTTTCATAAAATCTTTCTATACATCCTATTTTATATTCTTTTTTATACTAGTTTATTTACAAAATTAAAATATATCAGTTTTCACAAAAGATTCTTCCCATTTCCCTCAACCTCCCCCATCAAATTGTGTAACCCCATAATTAATCTCTCTCTCTCTCACACACACACACACACACACACACACACACACATCCTCACTCCTCTGCTTTCACCCTTCCCCGCCTCGGATCCTCATACTCATTGTACAATAATGACTTTAAATAGTATTTGTTCTTATGGAATTGAGTTAGTTCCCTCAGCGTAATGATCTCCAGTCCCTCCCAATTTAGGTAATAATTTACAAAATCATTGCTCCTGCATGCTGCATAGTATTTCATTGTGTGAATGTACCATAATTTCTCAATTCATTCGACTGTGGTTGGACATCTGGCCTGTTTCCATGTTCTTGTGATGGTGAATAATGCTGCTTTGAACATTGGTGTGCAAGTCTCCATTTGTGCCTCAGTTCTCATTTTCTCAGGGTGTATTCCAAGCAGTAGAATAGCTGGGCCATATGGAATTTCTATGTTCAGCCTTTTGAGGAAGCGCCAAACTGCCTTCCAGAGTGGTTGTACCATAGAACAATCCCACCAACTCACCACATCCTCTCCAACATGAACTTTATGTGGGATGGTGGTGGAAGAACATGTGTAATTGACATCAGATTGTCAACAGTGGTTGGCTTGATGACCAGGGGACTACAAGGCATGTACCATGAGTTACACATTTTCTAACATTCAGAGGCTTTGCAAAGCTTCTGTAATCTTAAAAAGGATTGTTCTATACAAGATTCAAACCTGGCAAGCATGGCTTTGATTCAAAAGGAAGTTGTAGGTATACACTATGGATTAAATGGGAGTGGGAGAGAAAAAAATTAATAATCAGAGAAAGTGGATGAAGAGAATAACAATATACAGTAAGGATTTGCTTGGACTTTGATTCTGGAAAAAATCAATGAGATGTGTAAATTTTCACTCAAATAAAGTAGGTTTTTAAAAAAAGAAAAGACGCTTCAAGAGGAGAGAAAGAAATAAAGGAAGAGAAGGAGCACTGTAATGGGGAAGGACACCAGGGAGAATGGGAGCCATACCAGGACAGTCTGACCTCCACTCTTCTGAGATGGAGACCTGCAAACTTTTTAAAAGAAAATTACCCCACTGCCTTCAAGTCAGTTTTTACTTCTGGCTACCCTCTACTGGACTTTTTTTTTTAAATTATTTTTGTGTGTGTGTGTACCGTCAAATCGGATCTGACTGGTACAGGAGGAGATTGTCCCTCCTTCTCCAGCAGAACATCTGGTGGATTTGAACCACTAACCTCTGGGATTGCAGTGCATCTTCTTGCCACTAGGCCACCAGAGCTCGCCTCTACTGGACTTTTTTTTTATGATACAAGGGTTTTTATTAGCGAAGGAAGTTGGAGTTTTTATCAGTCTTGTAGTAGTTAAGGAGCTGAGCTTCCAATCCAAAGGTACATGATCCAAATCTCTCAGCAGCTGTCTGGGAGAAAGATGGACAATCTCTTCTCATGTGATTTATAGCCTCTGAAAACTTACTGGAGGGTCAGCTATGAGTTATTTCTGACATGAATGAAATGTTTGTTATGTTGTTGTTGTTGTTACTAGGTGATGTTGATGAGTACAGCTCATAGAGACCCTGTTCTACTGGACTTTTACGGCATGACAACCCTCCACTGGGTTTCCAAAGCTATAAAGTCTTAATGGGAGCAAATTGCATAGTCTTTCTCCTCAGGAGTGGCTGATGAATTTGAACCACTGAGCTTTCAGTTAGCAGCCCAACACATAGCCCACTATGCTACTAGGTTCCTTAAAAGAATGTCAAAAAGTGAGAGGTATTAAAAAAGACCACATTTAAGAGAAACCCTGACATGGAGCAGATTACCCAGGAGCACAGGCTTACTTACGTTAACTTGTTGTGTGCCTTCTGGTCAGAACTGGCCCATAGCCGACCCTCCAGTGAGTTTTCAGAGGCAGTTAATCGCACAGGAAGAGATTACTGCCCATCCCTCTTCTGCCAAGCAGCTGGTGGATTCAAACCATGTGCCTTGGGGATTGCAGCACAGCTTCTTACCACTAGGCCACATAACAGTTTCTTCTCTTTTTCTTTTTCTACACCTATATCACAGATTCTACTTCTAGGTATGGCAGGCATCTGTCTGTCTCTCTCATAACACCTTCCCACAGAATCAAAATCTCTCTTCAAATTTACATTCTCTGGCAGAAAGCTCATTAGGCAAGGGACATTTGCTTACCTTGCTCACTGGGTCGTCTGGCCTGGCCAGCGTTATCACCCAAAATACACTTGAACCTGGACCTGAAGACACAGTGAAAGGGTGGCTTAATCCACAGAGAATTGTGCCACTGACTCACAGAGAGCAGTTCCTCCCGTGCAGTTTACAGCCTCTGAAAACCTGCTGTGCTCAGCTATGGCTTGGCTCTGACTTGGTGGCAAGAGTTTGGGGTTTCTGTTTTGTCTTGCTCTAGGTGTTTTTTATTTTGTTTTGCTTTTAAATCAACAATAATATCCATGAGGAATGTGCTCCTTCAAACAAGTAAGGATAAGACACCAAATACCAACAGTTGCCCAAAAGCAAAGATGAAAAGCCAAGGAGGGACAAGGAAATGAGAGGGAGGCAGATAGCGAAACCCAAGAAAAATCACTGCAATTAAGTCCATTCCAGTTTATAACAACCCTCCATTGAGTTTCCAAGGCTATAAATTTTGATAGAGAGCACTCTCAGTTTTTCTCCTACTGAGTGGCTGCTGTTGGTGTTATGTATCAAGGCAGAACCAACTCATAACTGACCCTCCAGCAGGTTTTCAGAGATTGTAAATCACACTGGAGGAGATTCCCCACCTTTTATCCTTGGGCCAGCCAGTGGATCTGAACTGTAAGCCACCAGAACTCCAACTACTGAGTGACTAGTGGATTCAAACTATCAGTCTTGCAGCCAGCACCCTGACAAGTTGCATACTGTATCTTCAGGGCTCCTGGAAACAGGCAAGGAAGGATAAAGGAGGAGAGAGTCCTGACACTTTGCAGGGATAGCCACCAGTGCCACAGAACAGTTAGCAGGTAAATTGTTACATAGGAGGTTAAGGGTGCTGTGCGGGCTTTCATCTAAAACATGTTAAAGTGTTCAAAAAAAGAAAAAGAAAGCTAAAAGAGATACTGGGAGTCCCTAGCTAGTATAGACATTTAACATGCTCAACTGTTAACCAAAAGGTTGATGGGTTTTTACCTACCCAGGGGTACCTTGGAAGAAAGGCCTGGTGATAAGCTTCTGAAAAGCAAAACCTTGAAAATTCTGGGGAGCACAGTTCTAACTCTGAGTGGGGATGCTTGGAGTCCAGTTGGCTTGATAGCAGTTGATTTTGGGGTGTGATATATGTACTGCAGTTGTAACTAGAGCCAGTTTGTTCAGAAAGTCTTCTTTTTTTTTAAATTTTTTTTTGTATTATTTTTATGTGTACCGTCAAATCAGATCTGACTGGTACAGGAGATTGCCCCCTCCTTCTCCAGCAGAGCATCTGGTGGATTTGAACCGCATACCTCTGGGATTGCAATGCAGCGTCTTGCCACTAGGCCACCAGAGCTCCCTTAGAAAGTCTTCTTTATAATGTATGACAAGTTACCTCGATCATGGATGGACCCAGGAATATGCATTGAAGGAAACAAGAAAAGAGGAAACTAAAATTATTCAGAGTAAATCCTTAGTCTTGGACAGGGGTGACTTACTCAAAAGCACTTAATAAGCATGAGTTGACTTGTGCTTACTTAGTCCTTTATAGGATTGACATACTAATTTAAACTGATTCCACAGATTAGAAACAAGTCTTGGTCAGTTTCTTGCCATAATTTCCACCATTTGAGAGGAGAGGTTCTGATTTTTAAAAAACCCTTAAAATCAGGGCAGTGAATGACAGGGAGGGTGTTATCAGAGGGGTTTTAAGCAAGGGAGTGAGGTCATCAAGTTTATGTTTTTGCCAGATCATTCCCAGGTCCAGTCCTAGTCTTGCATACAGCAGGCCATGTCTAGGTCCCATACATTCAGTAATGAACATGACAGACAGAGTCCCTTCCCTTATGGAGCTGGCATCTTGATGGACACTACATGTATCCCTAATTGAATGACTTGGGAAGCCAAAAGGAAGGGCCTTTCATGTGATCAAGAATGGGCCACAGCCCAGAGAGAGGCAGGGCGAGCCTGGACTGAGAGGAACTGCTAGGCCAGGTGTGGGAGGAGAAGGAAGGGTGCTCAGGAGGCTGAATGAGGCCCCAGAACTATGGCAGGAAGCAGGGGAGGCAAACAGGAGGTGCCAAGATAAGGTCAGAGCTTTGGCTCAGGGACCCAGTGAGTCCCCTGAGATGAGGCCTAGGGGAAAGACCAGATTTGGAGAAAATGCTAAGGCCCCTTTGGGACACAATAAAAGTGATGGTCCTGCAGGCTGTTCACAGGGAGGTACCAAGAATGCCGCAGATAGAGGTGGCATCATCAGTGAGAAGGTTGAGTTCACAGACATGGGGCGGGGCCGGGGGGGGGGAGGTTTGGTAGCCCAGGGAAGGTGAAGAGAGAGAGTAAAGAGGACCCACAGACCTGCAGGGTGGGAGCTGGGTCCAAAGAAGAATAGATGATGGAGGTTATTGGAGCAGAGTGGATGGGCTGGGGCTTAGTGGGGGAGATCTGGCGGGGCCTGATAGGATGAGGACCACTATTCCCAGGAGTGACTTCCATGAGGACTGCTGCAGGGCTGCTGGTGAGGGCTGGTGAGCCCATGCTGTGGGAACTACAGGGGGTGTGCATGAGAGAGGACGAGGGCACAAGGGTGTGGTGATAAGTGCCCTCTGTAGGTGCTGTTCTAAGGATCTCACCTGTGTGCACTCGCCCCCCATGAGCCGTCTGAGCCCCATTTCAAAGATGCGGAGAGCTGAGGCTCAGGGAAGTCCCTCACAAGAGGCTATGCCCTAAAGAGGAGCAGCCCAGAGTCTACACCCCACCCGCTAGGGCTTCCTTTCCATTGCCTCCCACTTTCACAGCCTGCTCCCCAAGCCCCAGTGTCACCCTCACCTCTTTCCATCCTCCCTGACCCCACTTCTCTGGCCTGCCCACCCCACCCTACCCCCATTTCAGGATTCGGATTCTAATTCAGACACTGAAGGAGGAGCCGCTGGTGGAGAAGCAGAGAGTGAGTATCTTTCTAGGGTCCCCTCGGTCGAGGATTTCAGGACGGACATTCAAGGTGTCACAATAGAAGTGGTGCCAGTACTTGTAGTTGTGAGGAGGCTGGGGAAGCAGGGGCTGGTCAGGGGCACCCCATGTATCTGATTCAACACCTACCACATTGGTGTCTCTTTCTTATCAGTGGACTTCCTGCGGAATCTCTTCTCCCAGACATTAGGCCTGGGCACCCAGAAGGAGCGTCTGCTGGACGAGCTTACCCTGGAAGGGGTGACCCACTACATGCAAAGCGAGCGCTGTGAGTGCCCTGCCTGCACTGGGCCACTAACCCCCATCTCGACCCCAGAGGACTTCTCACTCAGAGCCGTCTGCATCAGTCACATCTTTTGCTTGCAAGTTATTAATAAGAAACCTGACTCAATTGGCTTCAGTCTTTAAAAAGCTAGTGTATTGATTGGTTCTGTAACTTATCCAGCCTGCTTCAGGCATAGCTGGATTCAGGTGTTTCCATGATATTGCCAAGATTCTAACTCCGGGTTTTGGCTCTGCTTTTTGTGTGTGTGTTCAGTAAGTTCCCAGGAGTTCCAGCTGGGTCACATGCCCATGCTGGACCCACTAACCATGTCTGGGTCACGTTTCCATTGCTGAAATTGTGCTGTGCTCTGATTGGTCGGTGCTGTAGACTAATGATAATACACGTAGGCTTATGAGTAGGTTAAATAAGCCAATATGGACATGAATGCTTACAACAGGGCCGGGACATGGTCAGACATGCATGTTTGCTCTGATTTTAACTACCGGAAGCATGTTTCATGTGTGGGTGCAGAGGTGCATATTTACTGGGTCAGTGTGTAATTTATATCCCTTACTTTGACTCAAGATCCCCAGAGTCTGAGAAACCAGACGCTTGGTTGTTCTTGTCTAGAACAATCAATCCTTTCAGGGCCCTGAACAACCTTTTGTTGAGCACATCACCTCCAGTGTCTCTGTACTCTAATGGCTGCCAGCTCCCTCCTCAGGCAGCCACCCTACTATCCTGAGCCCCTGCCTACAGGCCAATCCAGGCAGCAGACTACAGCCATGTTTGTCCTCGGTGGATCCCCAGAAGAATGTAGACAGTGGCTATGAAGTATTCATTCCCTCTGCCCTCTTTACCCAGGCTTCCAGAGTCCCTGGCTCCTGAGGATCCCCTGAAGGGGCAGTAATAATTATCACACTTAATTGAGCCTCACTGTCTGTCAGATATGTCCTCCTATTTTATCTTCCCATCATAACCTGTGAGGATTCAATAGAAGTGAGCCAGACAGGGAAGGAAACTGAGGCACAGAGAGGTTGTGATTTGGTGTATAGCTACACAGCTGGCAAGCAGCAGAGTTAGACTCCAATGCCAGGCCACCTGAATCCAGCGCACATGATCCCACCCCATGGCCTCTCTGGGTCTGGCCTGCAGGTGACCCAAACACAAAGCTGTCACAGTCCTCACCTTTGTACACAGACCCTGCTTCCCTTGCTTCATGGGCATCCAGGCTTTTGTCTGCCTATCAGCTGATGGGCAGATGCCAGGGTATCGTGTGACAGGACTGGCTGCCAGCCTGTGACTGATATTTCTGCACATCCCATCTTCTTGGGAAAAGAATCCACTCCCTACCATATCTCTCCTCCTCCCTTTTGGAGGAATAAAGTACTTATCGCTTTATGAATCATAGGTCTAGAGAAGTTTAGTACCACTGACTCAAAGAATAATTGGTGTGTTGAATCGTTTCCTACTCAGAGCAACCCTAAAGGACAGAACAGAACTGCCCCTAGAGTGAGTTTCCAATAGTGTAATACTGTGGAGCTGCTGTGGACTTCGAACCACCAGCCTTTTAGGTTGTTGTTGGCATTGCTGTTGTTGTTGTTGTTATGTACCAGCGAGTCGAAACCATCCCATAGCTGACCCTCCAGTGGGTTTTCAGAGCCAGTTAATGGTAGGGAGGAGATTGACCATCCTTCTTTCACAGAGCAACTGGTTCATTTGAACTGTGTGCCTTCAGGATTGTGTTGCAGCTTCTTACCACTAAGCCACCAGATCTCCTTTTAAGTAGCAGCTGAAAACTTTGCTATTATCCACCAGGGCTCCTTCAAAGAATTAATAACCAGTTCATCTATAGTAGTTACACGGTGTCAGTTGCTGGTCTGAGCTTTTTACGTTAATTCATCTATTTTCTTGTCAACAGTTTTCCCAGGCCAGTACTGTAGTTATGCCCATTTTATAGAGAAGAAAACTAATGCCCAAAGTGGTAATCCGAGATGTCTAAGGTCACACAGCTGTAAGCAGGGTGCTAGGATTTGAACCCAAGCCAGTAGGCTCTGGAGCCCTCTATCCACTCTGCCGCCCACTGGGAGGAGGCTGGGAAAAGCAATCTTTAGGCTTCGCCTAAAAGTATCTGCTTTGGTAGCTGATGACATGTTTGATAATTATGAAAAGTAACACAATGAAGGAATATATATGTATATATAAAATGTGCTAGAAACAGATGGTCTTCCAAGATTGAGTTTAAAAGATAAGGTGTTGCCAGAGATTTTGTTATCATTTTTATGATAATCTACAATTGTTCTTGTTGAGCTCTGTTTGTGTTGCTCTGTCAATCAAAAGGGAGTTTTGGTGGCCTAGTGGCAAAAAGCTGCACTGCGATCCCAGAGATGCAATTTGAATCCACCAGCTGCTCTGTAAAAGAAAGATGAGCAGTCTCCTTCCGTGTGATTTATTGCCTCTGAAAACCCACTGAGGGTCGGTTCCAACTCAACGGTACAATAGCTATCAATCAAAAAAGCCAAGCAACTCCAATACATACCTACTGGTGACTCCAAGATGAGCAGTATCCTCTCATTAAGATTTACAGCCTCAGAAACCCACTCACAGGTCATTTTTAGTCAGACTTACTCACCAATAGTGAGTGAGTTGGCAGTGCCTTCACCTACTCCCCCCATTCTGCCAGCAAGATCTTGGAAGACCTAGACCTGGTTAGGAGCAGAAACTACTTTCTGAGTTGCCTTTTCCGTGTCTGGTTCGTATAGTTGTGTTTGTTCTGTCCAGCAGACTCTGACTCATATAACACTATATAACAGAGTAGATCTGACCCTTAGGGCTTACTAGGCACTTATCAAAAATTTAATTTTTCTTAGATCCATATATAATCAGTACTCATGGAAGTAACAGTAAGGGGGGGAAAGGAAGAAACACACACTATATTGCATACTGAGGAACACTTTAAAGTGTTAGAGAGCAAGGATGTCACTTTAAGGACTAAGGTGCACTTTAGTCAATCCATGGTATTCTCCATCCCCTCATATGCATGTGAAAGTTGAACAGTGAATTAAGAAGACTATAGACATTTTGACAGATTACTAAAGTATTGACTGCCTTTGAATTGTGTTGTCAGCAAAGAATATTGAATATCCCCTGGACTGCCAAAAGAATGAACAAATCTAAGGAAGCTCTGGTGGCCTAGTGGCAAGAAGCTGCACTGCAATCCCAGAGGAACATGGTTTGAATCCACCAGATGCTCTGTTGGGGAAGGAGGGGCAATCTCCTCCTGTACCAGTTATATCTGATTTGATGGCACACACACAAAAAATAATAAAATAAAATTAAAAAAAGAAAAAAGAATGAACAAATCTGTCTTGGAAGGAGCCTGAATGCTCCTTGAAAGCAATGATGCTGATACTTCATCTCACATACATGCTATTGGGAGGAGCGACATCACACTTGGTAAAGTGGAGGCTCAGAAAAAGAGGACGACCCTCAACAAGATGAGCCGACACAGTGTTTGCTGGGATGGGCTTGAGCACAGCAGAGACTGTCAGGACGGAGCAGGGTTAGTTCTGTTGTGTGTGGGGTCGCTGTGAGTCAAAGTCAACTCAATGACAACAACAATCTTTTAAGCAAGAAGATTGCCAGTTCTTTCTTCCTAAGGAATAGCTGATGAATTTGAACCAGTGACCTTTCAGTTGATAGATGAGTGTGTAACCATTGTGACACCAGGGTTCTTTTGAATTGTCTTTAATTACTATCATTTCAGACAGAGGATTCTACATCCCTGTGCTGGCTCTTCTACTGGTTGACTGTGTGGTCCTTTTCCCTACCTGAGCCCCAGTTTCCTTATCAGTAAAATGGAAGCATCATAACACAACTGGCCTTGCCTCGAGTTGGTAGAGAGGAAGGATTTCGTGAGCTCTTGCACCTGAACCACTCAGGCAGACACAAGGCAGCAAGGGCATGATGGGTGCTGCTGCTGAGGGCCGAGCAAAACACACAAATGAAACCTGCCTTCTCTCCTGTAGGCTCTAGGGTCATCTGCATGGTGGGAGCTGGAATCTCCACGTGTAAGTGTCCCCTGACCCCACGAGTAAGGGAGCCTCTCCTAGGCTCTGGGGAGAAGTCTGGGACCTTGCTATAAGGGGTTGACGTGGACTAAAGAGACCAGCACCCCTGATGGCCTGTCCACTGCTTTCTGCTGCTTCCCAGCTGCGGGCATCCCTGACTTCCGCTCCCCATCCACCGGTCTCTATGCCAACCTGGAGAAGTACCATCTGCCTTACCCTGAAGCCATCTTTGAGATTGGTTATTTCAAGGTAGGTGCTCTCCTAGGGGAAAATGACCCTAACACTGATGGGGGTAGAGGGAGATCACAGATCCCAGCCCTCTTCTCACCATGGCCATCTCTGCCCCTGACTCTCTCCCTCACAGAAACATCCAGAGCCCTTCTTTGCTCTTGCCAAGGAGCTTTATCCCGGGCAGTTTAAGGTGAGATCTTTTTTTGCAGGGAAACAGGAAAGGTTGGGAGAACACAGGCACAAGAAGGCCCCCCACCCAGGATCCTTCAGACATGTATGTTGTTGTTGTGTGCTGTCAAGTCAGAACCGACCCATAGCTGACCCTCTGGCAGATTTTCAGAGGCAGTTCATTGCATGGGAGATTGCCCCTCGTTCTCCTGTGGAGCAGCTTGTGATTGGGGTTGCAGTGCAGCTTCTTGCCCCTAGGCTACCAGAGCTCCTTCAGACGTGTACAGAGTAGTCATTAAGTACATGAACTCTGGCCAAGACTGCCTGGGTTCAACTCCTGCCTTCTTCATCTGTAAAATGGGGTGGATAGCCATATCCAAGGGATACCAACAGGCTTGAGTGAGTCAGTAATACTTAGAAGAGCCCAAGCTCTAGAACCAGCCTGCCTGGGCACAAATCCCATTAAAGCTCCCTGTGTTTTCCTCTTCTATGAAATGGGGATAACGGCAGTCTCTCCCTTCAAGATCCCAATGATGATTCCCCTGAGGTGAAGCAGGCACAGGGCCGAGACAGTCTCTGGCGCACTCGGCGTGAGAAGTGTTTTCTGTTATTGTCAGCACTGACATGATTGTTCCCTGCAGCCGACCATCTGTCACTACTTCATCCGCCTGCTGAAGGAGAAGGGGCTTCTGCTGCGATGTTACACACAGGTAGGTGAGGCTGTGGCATGCTGAGGAGCGGGCGGGCTGGATGCGACCTGGCACCTCCAAAATGGACAGAGCAGAGCGGTTAATTATGGCTTTAGCCACACAGACTCGAGAACTCTACCTCCTGCGTCCTGATTGAATGCACCAGAGTGAGCCCTTTCCCCTTTCTCAGCCTCAGTTTACCCATCTATAAAACAGAGTAAGTAGGGGTGGCACTAAGCCCCCATCTGTGCCTGTAGATGGCCTCGATTTAGTTACTATGCCAGCTTCTTTCCAGCAGATGACCTCATCTAGCAAAGCCAGCAGTTGTTAGGCTTCTGTCCAATTGATTGTGACCATTTCCAACAGGAAGTGCAGTATCTTACAGAAAAGCTGCCATGTGTGGGCTGTGATCCACCATGTCAAGTTCCTGGCCATGGGCCTCTCACAGTGCTGGCTCTAGGAGTCATTGGTGAGACATTTGGAGCCTCTCACCCCAGTAACTGAAAGCCATTTGTGCATCCACCATTTTTCTGTGAACATTTTTTCAACTTACATCTACTTCAGAGCATGAAATGATAAAACAAGGATGTCGTCGTTGTTGTTGTTGATTGCCGTCGAGTTGAGTACAACTCATAGCGACTCTATGAACAAAAGATCTATTGCCTTTCCAAAGCTATCATTGTTTCTCCAAGTTCATAGAGTTTCCAGAGGCATGTAGTTTAGGAAGTGGATGCCACTCCTGCTTCCAACCCTGTTTTACAACTGGGAGCTCCACCAAACACTGTCCACAATGGGACACCATTATGGTATTTGATATCCCCATGGCACAAGGCTCGGTATCACAGCAAACCCAGATTACTTTATACAGCACATTGACAAAGAGTGATGTGCAAAGTCGAAGAATGTCCCTCCAGATATAACAGCACTAGTCTCATTTAGCAGTGGTTAAGTGTTTCTGAGTCACATACACTCAGAGTAAGCTTTGCACAAAAGACCTGAACTCTGTTCTATAATTAACATCATTTCTGTACATTTTAAAAGAGTTTGTAGAGTTTCCAGAGGCATCTGGTTTAGGAAATGGATGCCACTCCTGCTCCCCAACTTGAATCAATCTGGAAGCTCATCCAAACATTGTACATAATGGGTAACCATTATGGTTTTTGACACAAGTATGGAACAGTGTTCATGTGAATATAGAAGCAGTCCTCATTTCCTTACCCTCATCCAGCTCTGGTACTTAGTTGTAAGCACTGGTAGGAGTTTAATGGTGAAGAGTTCTTAGTGAGAGCTTTGGTGTTTAGTGGTAAAGAGTTGTGCTGCCAACCCAGAGGTACATGGTTCAAATCCACCAGCTGTTCCATGGGAGAGCTATGGGCAGTCTCCTCCCAGATGATTTACTGCTTCTGAAAATCCATCAGAGGGTCAGCTGTTTGGTACCGATTGGAAGATACTTTGGTATCTGCAGTATCAAAGGTGGCCAGCAGGGGATGCCAAATCCTTTAGCCAGAATTCTTCCAGTGGGGCAGGTGTTCTACCCTGGGACTGAAAGTGAGGAATATGAGTAAGGGGGGCGGGAGGGTGCCCTCTGGGGCCCAGGCAGAGCCCAGGTCTTGGATAAACCTGACACTACTTCTGAGAGAGCCACTTTTACTAATGAGGTGTGGCTCAGACCACTCACTAATGATGCCAGAAGTTCCTCCTGTGTGTGGTTTCATGAAGTCCTCAGCACTGCCCAACTGGCTCCTTACTTGACAACTAGCTGGCATTAAACAGAACAGACAAGCATCCCTAGCCCTGTAGAGCCGACACTGTAATGTGGGGAGAGGGACAGGGGACAGGATGGGTAAAGGGGAACATCCAGAGTGTCAGATGGCCATGGGGCCACGATGAAGCAGAGAAAGGGGAGCTGAGGCACTGTATGAAGTGGGAGGCATTTGGAATTTCCTAGAAGGCAATCATGGAAGGCTTCACTAACATCTAAACAAAAACCTAGAGGATGAGAGAGGGAGTCATTGTGATTATCTAGGAAGAACAGCCAGTGCCAGAGCTCTGCTATAAGGCTCTGTCCATTATCTTGAGCAGTAGGGGTTTATGACCTGACTAAGATGTTCACAGGCCCTCTCAGGAGCAGACCATGAGCACAAGGAGACTGGGGAGGAGATGACCAGGCTAGTCTATGCAGAGATGAGGATGAATAGAACCAAGATGGGAGGCCGACGGGAGGAAGCAGGCAGGTTCTGGATCCGAGAAGACGGCACCTGAGGACGTGCTAATGGGGTGGATGTGATTGTAGAGAAAAAGACACTTGGAGACGTTGCTGTTGCTTTTACCAGGACGGTGGGCAGTGTGAGGGGACTGGGGGTTCAGGAGAGGAGTTTGGCTGAGGCATGAAGAGTGGGAGATAGATGCCTGTTTGAAGTCTGGATGGGAGCTGAGAATGTGGGCTGGAGAAGTAGCACATAGAGAGCATTTCTTCTCCTAGGATGAGATCATAAGGCCTGGGTGTAAGAGACCAAGTTCCGGGACCCAGGAACTCGCCACCTCCATGCCAGGTGCCCACAGCCAGCTCTGTTCACAGCAAATCTCCTGTCCTTCATCATCACAACACTGCATCAACTATGTGATTTCACACACACACACACACACACACACATACACACACATACACACACATTTAAATGTTTAAAGCCAACATTAGTGTATTCTTGGGAAGGAACAAATATACTAAAGCCGACATTAGAAGCCCTGGTGGCATAGAGTGTCTTATGTTGATCTCTTAAGTCATCCGTTCAAATCCACGAGCTGTTCCTGTTAAGATTTCCAACCTTGGAAACACACAGGAGGGTCACCATGAGTAAGAGTTGATTTGAAGGTAGTGGGTTTGTTTGTGTTTCTTTTCTTACAGTGATAAAAGTTAGAATAATTGTTACTGTTCTTTTTAATTTTTAGTGTCAAAGTTTACAAAGTATATTTGGTTTAGTGGGGGAGTTTCAGTCAGTAATATATATATTTTGTTTCATACCCTTAATTACTTTGTTTCATACCATTAATTATAATAGTGTCTTGTCATCCATTCATTCCATATTGTTTCCCGTTACCTATCTTAATAATGTTTATTATCTATTAATTTATTTTCTACTCCTACCATTCATCCCTTGTCCTCCCTATTAACCATTCTAAAATGATTCTCTTTGTGTATAAATCTTTCTTTAGTGCTTCTGTAATAGTAGTCTTTACAACATTTGTCTTTTAGGACTGACTTATTTCACTCACCATAATATCATTAAAATGTATTCATGTTTTGCAGTGTTTCACACACTATTCATTATTTCTCAGGGTTGTTTAGTACTCCAGGGTTCTTAGAGAGTTTTTTTGGGATTTTTTTAAAGCCAACATTAGTGTATTCTGGGGAAGGAACAAAGAATGCAGACATTACTCCTTGTCCTTTGCAGTGTTTAATGTATGGAATTAAGTTCACCTACATTGCCTCATCTCATAGCCATTGAGTCGGAACTGACCCATAACTGACCCTCCAGTGGGTTTTCAGAGGCTGTAAATTGTAGGACAGAAGATTTTTCACCTTTTTTTTTCTTTTTCAAGGAACCACAAGTGGATTTGAACAGCCTGCCTTTGATTTAGCAGCAGAACCTACATAATGTATAACAAACTTGACTACTAATAGAAAGTTCAGCAGTTCTAGTCCACAAGCCACTGCACTGGAAAGATGCACAGTCTCATCCATAAAAATTTCCCTTCTCAGAAAACTGCTGGAGTCAGAACGTGATTGACGGCAGTGGAAAATTTTTTTAACACATTTAAAATGGCAACTTCCATAGACTCTGTAATGGTTAAAAAAATGTGTTCTCATATGTTACGAAACTGATTTATTCATCCTTTTTTCCCCTTTTCTTCAACACCAGCCTCATTTTGAGTCACTGACCCAGTTTTCTGGAACACATTGTCTTCACTATCTGAATTGTGACAACGCAGCGCTTTCAAAATTTGCTATTTTTATCTAAGACACAAGTACCCATTCAAACATCAACACAGTTGTCCAATCAAATTGTTGTGAACTCTACAGCAAAATGGCTTATAGTTTGTAGTTCCTCCCAAATATGTGTAAATGGTTTTTATAGCTCTTGCAGAATATATGTAAATTCAAAATAGAAAACCAAGGTGCATTGACACAGTAACCATGAGCTCGAGCGTATCTGAGACGGTGAGGATGGCGTAAGAGCAGGCGACGTTCAGACCTGTTGTTCACCGGGTTGCCATGAGGCCTGAATGACTTGATGGCTCCCAGCAACAACCTGGCGGGGTAGGGGGGGGTGCGGTTAGTGGTGCTGGTAGATGCTGTCGAGTCTGTAAAGCGCACAGGAAGAGATTGCCCATCTTTCTCCTACTTAATATAAACCCTGCTGGCATAGTCTATAGGGAGTCTTGCTACTAACACAAGGCCATGCCAATCTAGCAGCTTGAATCTACTCTGAAGAAGAAAGGTGGGCTGTGCAGTCTCCTCTCGTTTCCAGTAACAGTGTTAGAAACCCAATGACTTGATGGCAGTGAGTTGTGGAATTTTAAACCCAGAAAACTCACTGCTGTGGGGTCAGTTCTGACCCATCGTAACCCTCCATCAGTTTTCAAGGCTGTAAATCTTTACTGAAAGAGAGTAAAGTGACTAGTGGACTTGAACCATCAACCCTTCTGTTAGCAGCCGGTCAACAAGGCTCCTTATCTACGAACTATGCAAGCAAATACACAAACTTATCTGGGTTCTCCCCCCACCCATGTCCTTTCTTTATGTACTGCCCTAGTTCTGCTCTATCTTCTAAAGCCACAGAGGTCATTTCATATCAATACACACATACTTGCCTCATTCTTTCTCATCTGCTTGTGACTTCTCTCCCAAAAGTAGTGACAGAGAAACACAGAGGCACCTGGGATTCCCATGAGTCAGAATGATAGCCAAAGGCTTTTTAACTGGTTACTTATTTCTTGTGCTCTTTAACTCACTCACATACACATTGCATACAGGTGCAGAAGGAAGTCATTCATTAAATTGAGTCAGGCAACACAGAAAAACCAAGGTTTCTAATAGAGAGGGGAAAGCCACTGAGAACCAGGGACAGTGAATTGTGTCTGCATGTTTTGGGGCTAAGCCCATGGCTGCTTGGTCAAATAGGGCAGCCTTTGTCCAATTCAGATATTCAGCTATCTGTGGAATTTCTCGGAAACCTAACACATTTCACTGGGACAATGGGTCCCCATTTCCAGTACCCACCTCACTCCCAGAAGCAGCTGCCTCTACAGCTTTCCGCAGTGGGCCACAGAGCTGTTTAAAATCATCAGCTGCTGTAAGAAGCACAAGAAATACCAGCTGTCTCTGTACAAAAAGCATTCTTACCTGCTTAATGCAGAAAGTATCTCTCCTCAAAGTACACGAGTTAACAGAAAGATTAGATGGGGCAGTGACTCGGTGTTTATGGGGGAGGAATAGCTCAGAAAAGCTCCAAGCATGTCATCAGTGCCACTCAGCTGTCCATGTAGACACCATCACAGTGCTGTGTATTCTGCTGTGTGTAGCCTCATACTCAATGCTATCAAGTCTGAACTGACTCACAGCTGACCCTCCAGTGGGTTGTCAGAGGCTATAAATCACTTGAGAAAAGATTGCCCATCTTTCTCCCAGGAAGCAGCCTGATGATTTCGAACAAGCCATCTTTGGATTGGTAGTGCAGGTCTCTACCCACTAGGCCACCAGAGCTCCCTGTAAAGTCTCACGACATAAAAGAAGTCATTTTTTTAAAATTACATAACTTAAAGTCCAAGAAAGTAGTAAGTGGTTACTTCATGGTGACCAAAATTGTACCCCCATAAAGTTAATGTCAAACAAACACAGGTTAATAAACGAGTGTCAAAAAACCAAACCAAAAGCTCCCTGCCGTCAAGTTAGTTCCAACTCGGGGTTTCCAAAGGTGAAAAGCTTTGTAGAAACTGGCTGCCTCATCTTTCTCTCAAGGAGCTGCTGGTGAGTTCGAACTGCTGAGCTTTTGATTAGCAGCTGTGTTTAACTTACAGCTCCATCAGGACTCCTTGAGAATTGTGACCAGTCAGTGGGCATGGTTTAAAACAAGCCAGCTCTAGGGGAGCTCTGGTGGCCTAGTGGTAAGGAGCTGCAACTACAATCCCAGAGGCGCACGGTTTAATCCACCAGATGCTCTGCCGGAGAAGGAGGGACAATCACCTCCTGTACCAGTCAGACAATAACCTCCTGTACCAGTCAGATCTGATTTGACGGTACACTCACACAAAAATAATTTTTAAAAAATTAAAAAAAAAACACAAACAAACAAAAAAACGAGCCAGCTTTGATTCACTCAGGTGTGTTCCTGCCTGGAGGGTTGCCACAGACAGTTCCCATATTACACGAGGTGCAAAGTGAAGGCCTTGCAGATTTATACTCTTATTTCAACAGATTTGTTTTGAGCAGATGATATGGTTCTAACAAACATTGCTCAAAATGGAAGCAGAGTGGCCCGAATTTGCAAAGAGACACTATCTGTAATGGGCTAGTGGTGGCCAGGGTCTGTGGCCTCATAGATAAGTGAATTTGGAGCCCCACCTTCAAGTAACCTAGGACTTTTAGTTCTCCCCTGGAATGGTCTCTACCCACTAGGTATGTGTTCAGACACACCCTGCCGCAGCAATTCCACTTGCTTCTCTGCTAACCCAAAGGTCACACCTCTCTGCTGGTTCACATCCACCAAAGGCTGCATAGGAGAAAGATAGGCAGTCCCTCCCATGGATTTACAGCCTTGGAAACTCACTGGAGAGTCTGCTATGAGTCTGTTCTAACTCAGCAGCAATGAGTTTGAGTTCTCTCTTGTCCTCAGCCCTACCTTCTGGTCTACAAGGGATATGATCTTCTCCTTGTCCTGCTTCCCTCTATCTTCCCTTCCAGAACATAGACACCCTGGAGCGGGTTGCAGGGCTGGAGGAGGAGGACCTGGTGGAGGCCCATGGCACCTTCTACACGTCTCATTGCATCAGCTCCCTCTGCCGGCAGGAGTACACGCTGAGCTGGATGAAAGGTGAGGGGCTCAGGATCACCCCAGGGGCCCACTTCAGCTCACTGTCTGCTCCCCAGACCACAATAGGTGCACATGGCCAGCTTGACCCCAGACAGTTCTGTCCAGCACAGCTAGCTGGACCTTCTCAGTAGATAATGGCAAGCACCAAAGAATTGTGGTGGTGAGGAGTCCCTGGCCCTCACACCTTGAGCCAGGTTATAATACACAAGCAGGTCCCAGTCTGTCCTGAGAGCTCTTGAAACTCCAGTTGTTCACCTCTTTAGATTTTCAGGCCACATCTGGTTTGGAAAGCTCATCAGAGTAAACCCAGTGGTGTCCTGGTGCCACACTGTCTACTAGAACCTTCTGAGATAATGGAAAGGTTCCATATCCACACTGTCCAGTAATGGTCTGCTGAGCACTTAAAGTGTGGCCAGTGTGACTGAGGGACTGGATTTCTGATTTACTTGCATTTTCCCTTTGTTTTCCTTTTTAAAAACACCATACATAGATACTCATGCCTTAGAACAAGTCAGTTGTACAAGATCTAAAGGGCAGTAATTGCCAAGGGAGAAAGCTCAGAAGGCAAGAAGGATGTGTGAAAATGAGACTCACAGGGAGGAAATGGGAGGTGTGCTCTTCCACTATGGGAACTGTAATGCTGTAAAACAAAATCCATATGAATGATTAGAAAACCAATTTACTTTGCAAAGGTTCATTCAAAGCACAATAAAAACTTTAAAGTAAATACCCTACCTATATGTCTCATATAGGAAAACACTGTTCTAGAGGCCCAAGATTCAATTAATTCATTAGTTGAATTCACACCAAAATGGACAGTGGCCTTTGAAGCTGGCCACCACCATAGCTAGTGATGAGGCTGGGACATCTCTAGCGCTGTGAGTTACAGGACTTAGTAATGTCATGGTCCCTTTTCCTGTGAGGATGGAATGTTGAGAGAGAAAATAATTCACCCTGCCCACATATCTTGAATGCTGTGAGAACCTCTTTCTGAATCCATTATGCTGATTAAGAAGCCATCGTTTCACCCATGGGCACCATTTCCAGCTTGCTTTATACAGAGTTAACAAGGCCTTTGGTGTTCTGCAAGATAAGGACAGCTGCAGCTAGGTCGTGGAGTGTGGCCATTCTGATAAAACACCAGCTGACTGCCCCTGGGACAAGGATTCCTGAATAGGCCAACTGCATGCAGCTGGGGTCCTTTATAATGGATATTTCTCCTTATTGTATCTTAGTCACAGCAGCACATGCATCACCCACAGAATAGCAGTGTCTGCACAGAAATCTCTCCAAGTAAAGGCTTTCAGACATTAAAAACAGTGGTTTGTGAATATCTGTTAAATGAAGGGACAGATGGATAGATGATTTAGGTTTCTGTGGGTTGCAAGTGACAGGCTTTTATCATTAAAAAGCAGTAAGGAGGAGGGTTGTCTAAAGTGTGGTGTGGGGTATCGCAGGTAGCTGCTGGTCCTAAGTTTTCTCCCCAGTCCACGTCATCTGCATGTTTTTCCCTTCCTGCACCACACACACCCCAGGCCTGGGGCCCACCAGGCCTCTCTGACTTGGAGAGAAACAGGGTCATCTCAGAGACACACTTGACTCCCTAGTCCGGATCTCCCAAGGTGAAGGGCAGAACCCAGTTGCTTCTGTTGGGGTGAAATGCTTGCTCTTTCATGTATTGTTTCCATCACTAGCTGTGGATGTGACACTTGCAGCCATCTCTTAGAACTCTGTGTGTTGGGGTGGAGCTAGAGCTTTACCTCATTCTTTCCTGGGAGGACAGACACCCCAGGAAATCCTCCGTGACTGAGGGTGTGTTGTATTGACAATGGATGAGGAGGACATGCTGGATGGGCCAGAGCAGGCCCCAGCATGGAGCCTCCACCCACCTTCTCGCCCTTCCCCTTCCCAACACCCAGAGAAGATCTTCTCCGAAGTGACTCCCAAATGTGAGAAGTGTCAGAGCCTGGTGAAGCCTGGTGAGCTGTAAGACTGGGGGCGGGCCGAGAGTGACCGGGGCTGCCCTCGTGACTCTTCCCACCAACCCACGTTCCTTGCCCCCACCTCTGGCCATCTCACTGTCTGAGAAGCACCTTAAATCCATCCCGGGGAAGGTGGAGTTCCGTAGCCCCATGCAACCCTACTGCTCTCCAACTCCCTCCCTGGCCTTGGGTCTGCCTTCCACTCCTACCTGTGTTTTCGCCCTGTCCCTGTCTCTCCATCTCACTATCCCTCTGTGCCTCTATGTGTGTCCGTCCATCTGTCTCTACCTCAGACATCGTGTTCTTTGGCGAGAACCTCCCAGCTCGTTTCTTCTCCTGCATGCAGTCAGTAAGTGTTCCCTCTGCCCCATGAGGGGCAGCCTGGCCCTATCCTGGGGAAGGATGGTCACTTATCTGGCTGGCCGCAGGTGTGGGCTTGTGGTATAGGGTGCTGGAAGGGGGTGTGGGATGCAGCCTCCCTGAGGGTCCCAAAGCCTCATTGGCCTCTCCGCCATCGCAGGACTTCCGGAAGGTGGACCTCCTTATCATCATGGGCACATCCCTGCAGGTGCAGCCATTTGCATCCCTCATCAGCAAGTAGGTTGAGGTTGGGGCTGGGTGGGAGCGGCCAGAGCTGGGACAAGCCCTCAATCTCTGCTCCTGTCCCTGCAGAGCGCCACTCTCTACTCCTCGTCTGCTCATCAACAAGGAGAAAACAGGCCAGGTGGGTCAGCCTCTCCTCACGCATGTGCCCTCCTCCTGGACCCCTCCCTCCTCCTCACAGCTGTCCTACCACCACCACCACCCCACTGACTTGACCGGAGCACTGGAGCTAGTGCATTTCATGCTGAGCTGCTAACATTAAGATGGTGGATGATTCAAGTCCACCATCATCTCCAAGGAAGAAAGATGGGTAGTCTCCTCCCATCAAGATTGACGACCTCAGAAACCCAGTAGAGGGTCACCGTGAATTGAAATAGATTTCACGGCAGTGGGTCTCTTCTCAGCCACCAACTTGGAAATCCCAACATTTTTACTCCAAACCTAAGACTCTGGGATTCTAGAATTCAGAGAGTTCTAGATCCTGGGCTGCTTTGATTCTAAGAATCTATAGTCTTCGGGCTCATTCAAGGAGTCCCTGAGTGGCACAGAGGGTTCAGGGATCATTTCCCAACCAAAAGACTGGCTGCTTGAATGATAAACTGATAATCCTGGGGAAATTTCTCCAGAAAGAGGAATCAAGGTATGAAAATAGGACCAGCAAGAACCTCCTGGGTGCCAGTGCCCACGTCATCTAGTGCTGCATTAGTGGGGAGCTCTGGTGGCTTAGTCCTTGGGGAGTTGTGCTGCCACCCCAAAAGGGACACATCTCTGGCAGTTCAGATCCACCAACAGCTCTGCCGCGGGAAACTGACCATCTCCTCCCTCACCATTTCCAGCCTTAGAAACCCTCCAGAGGCTCAGTTTTGACCCCATGGCAGTGCGCGGAGTTTAGAAATTTGTTTTCTGACTGTTCAGGAAACTGTTGTTGTTGTTGTGTCCTGTCAAGTTAACGATGACTCATGGCAACACTATAAACAGTGGGCTTTAACTCTTCCCTGCCCTGTGCCATCCTCACCATCTCTGATATATTTGAGCCCAGTCCATCCTCCCTCTTTCGCTGACCCTCCACTTTTCCAAACATGACATCCTTTTCCAAGGACTTACTCCTAAAAATATGTCCAAACTAGGTGAAACAAGGCTTCACCATCATTGCCTCCAAGTAGCACGCTGGCTGCACCTTCTCCAAGTCTGACTCATTTGTACGTTGACATTCCATGGGATATTCTTCTCCACCAACATCCAAAGGCATCAGATTTTCTTCTTTCATCTTCTATTATTGTCCAGCTTTCACGTACATAGAAAGTAATTGAAAACACCATGGCTTAGAGCAGGCACACCATAGCATTTCAAATTCTATCATTTCTCTTGAGCCCTTTGGAGAGATCCTTAACAGCAGATTTTCCAATGCACTACATCTTTTGACTTCTTGATTGCTGATACCAAGGTTGTTGATTGTGGATCCAGGCAAGATGAAATTGTTGACAATTTCAGTCTTTCTCACCACTTATCATGATGTTGCCTATTGGCCCAGTGGTGAGGATTTTAGTTTTCTTGATGCTAAGATGTAATCCATATTGAAGGCTGTAGGAGACTAGAAGTAAACTAAGGAAGCACCTTGTCTTTTCAATGTTCCCTGGTTCATTAAAGATCTCCATGCCTTACCCTATCTCTTTTTCTTGCTTGTTTGATCATTTTCATATCTCAAAAGACATTAAAACACATTCTTTTTTAAAAATTTAAATTTATTATTAATTTCAGTAAAAATTTACAGAGACTTTGGATTTCCATTCATTCACTGCTGCACTTTTCTCCCCTCCCAACCCTCCCCCCTAGTACATTACCCTCGTATAAAAGTAAAACAAAAATTCTTTCATTGTTTTACAATCCCTCCCCCTAGGTCCACTCAACTATGCAGCCTTTGCTCTGGACTCCTGTCATGACAAAAATACCTAATCACATATCCCTCTTAAACAGTTTTCTCCCTCATCTGTTTCAATCTGGTGTACATTATTGAACCCATCTTTCTCAGTCTCTCCCCAACCCCGAGGTCATTCCTGCTTTACAACAGTGGCACCATGTGGTATTTGTCCTTTTGTGACTGAGATACTTCACTCCGCATAATGTCCTCCAGGGTCACACATTTTGAATAATATTGCATTAGTTCCTTGTTTTTCAATGCAGCGTAGTATTCCATTGTGTGAATATCCCACAGCTTCTCTATCCATTCATTTGTTGATGGGCACTTAGGTTGTTTCTAAATCCTTGCTATTGTGAACAAAGCAGTAATTAACATGGATGTGCATATATCTGCTTGGATGTCAGTTACAGTCTCTTTGGGGTATATTCCCAGTCGTGGAATTGCATTAAAACACATTCTATCTTGTTAGCACAGTCATTCCCACATCAGATTGTCATCATAAGTATAGAGATTAGATCTGATGTCAAGTATTTTGGGGCTGCACAGTTTAATCCAGAAGAGCCTGGCATCTTTTAATGTATGTGTAACACCAGGGAGCTCTGGCAGCCTGGTGGATAGGGAGTTACAATGCCAGTCTAAAGGCAGGCAATTCAAACCCACCAGTTGTTCTACTAGAGAAAGATTAGCAGTCTCGTCTTCTGCAGTTTACTGCCTCTGAAAACCCAGGAGAGGATCAGCTACTACTGGTCAGTTCTAAGTCGACAGCACATAACAACATGTATTAACTCATTGACATTGCATGCCTGTGAGGGAGTACGAAAGTTAACCCACTCTGCAGAGAAGCCAAGTCACTTGATCACAGTCATAGAGCTGGTATACAAACTCGAGCTAGTTGGCTCCAGATTCTGTGTTCTTAATGCCCTTTCCACGCCCTCACTTCCTTGTCTCACAGACTGACCCCTTCCTGGGCATGATGATGGGCCTCGGAGGAGGCATGGACTTTGACTCCAAGAAAGCCTACAGGTGAGGCTGCCTCTGGAGGGGGCATGGAGCTGGAAGCAGCTGGGTCTAAGTCAGAGAGAAAGTGAGGGGCAGATAAAGAGCTGGCAGGGCCTCAGGAAAGGCCAGGGTTCTGATATCTGCCTGCTTTCTCAGGGATGTGGCCTGGCTGGGTGACTGTGACCAGGGCTGCCTGGCACTTGCTGACCTCCTTGGGTGGAAGGTGAGAAGCCTGGGGACCCCAGCCCACCCTGAGCCCAGTCCCAGGACCCTATACCCCTCCTCCAGAAGTCCTCTGACTTCTCCAAGACACCCCTGACCTCTTGAGGACTTTGCCTCTTGTAGAAGGAGCTGGAAGATCTCGTCCGGAAGGAGCATGCCATCATAGACTCCCAGTCGGCATCAGGGGCCTCCAACCTCAGCACCTCTACTTCCCCCAGGAAGTCTCCACCACCTGCCAAGGAGGAAGCTAGGACCGCAGAGGGGCAGAAACCCCAGTGACACCATGTCCCCCTTCTCAGGACACCAGCTCTGGGTTCAGTTCAGCCCCGGCCCCTCTCTAACTCGCAGCTCTCTGTGCAAGAGAACAGCACCCAAGCTCTTAACTATTTCCTCTCCAGTTGGTTTCAGCCTCGGCCCCAGAATGGCTCTAACACCCCTGACCAGATGGCCAGGTTGGAGTAGCCCTTCTTCTAACAGCCCAGTCTCTAACCGCACCCTCTGCAGAATCAGCCCCTAACTTCTAACTGCTCTGGGGATGGAGGGGCACCCCTACACCTCTAACTCTCCCAGGACAGGGTTCCAAAGGCCCAGTCTACTCCTGGGGCCAAGTGGACTGGTGCTGAGCCTGGAGATCACCCACATCTCTGCTTCACAGTGGGTGCTGCACCCTCTTCACCTGGGACCCACTTTCTACATGGGGCTGGGTGGAAGGTGGTGTTTATTGGAGACAAATAAAAAAATCAAACAATACTAGCACTCAGCTGTCTGACCTGGATGTTTCCTGCTGTGGACACTCAGGGGAGCAGCTGGAGGGAGGTGAGTGGGTCTTAGGTCCCCTAGAAAAGCAGAGCATCAAGGTCCTTCCTACTAGGAGCTGAACCCCGGAAAAGGGAAGGTAGATTTCAGATCCCCTCAACCCCCTGCCAGCCCCGCCTCTTCCCCCCAGCCACCCAGCTTCCTCTCTCTGCGAGGAACACTTTCACTTCCTACTTCACAGGCCTCCCCTCCAAGAACAGGTAGGAATCCCCAGGGACTGAAGCAGCTGTCATCTCCACCCATCCTCCCCCCCCCCCAGTCTCCCTTTGGCATCAGGCAGCTGCCCTCACCCAGCCTGGGCCAATACCACCCAGCCTCTTCCACATTCTTGTCCCCAGGTCCCAGGCTGGCAGCAGCCACCTCCTACTCACCTCACTCCTACCTCTAGACACCTGCCCTCTGCCCGTGTCTACCAGAGACCCAGGCTTCTGAGCAGTGAGCACGTTTATCTGTTTAGCTGTTGTGGTTATCCATCTCCTACATCCACCCCAAACAAAGAGGGATCCCTCAAGAGCAGGGGCCTATCCTAGCCACCCCAGAGGACCGGCTCCTGATTCTTGACCTGTACTTAGTAACTTGGATGGATAGATGGATGGATGGACGGACAGATGAAATCTCCCATCCCAGATTCTAGATTTTCTCACTCCCAGGACTACTGAAAAGAAAATAGTTTTAAAATATTCACCCCATAGGATAACCCACCTAGAACCCTGTGGCTGGTAAAGAAGCAGCAGATGGGAGGAGGGACCCATGTGTGATATAGCAAAAAAGAGGGAGAGTGTTGACAGCAGAATCTAAGTGGTATCCCCTGGCCCCTGTCAGATTCTTCCAGCTTTTCTGTGTGTTTTAAAAGGTTCATATGCAAGCACTGGACAGGGAGGTTGTGGTGGGAATCGGAGGGCCATTACATGGTCTGGGAAGGGAGGCTGTTGTATGCCATTCCGCCTGGTGACTTGATAGGTTATGGACTGGGCTAATCCAAAAGACAGACCCATTGTTTTGTGGGAAAAAGATGAAGCAGTCTACTTTTGTAAAGATTTATCGCTTCAGAACCCCTAGGAGGTTCCTGCTCTATCCTGTAGGGTCACCATGAGCTGGAATCAGCTTGAAGGCAGTGGGTTAGGAAGGGGGTTTGTTTTTCACAATCCACTATACTCTGGTGGTATAATTCATAGGGATTATGCTGCTAATACAAAATTGAGATTCACCTCAAAAAAAAGATGCACAATCTTCTGTGCCGTTTATTACCTTCGAAACCCAATGGAGGATCAGCAATAATTGAGTCATATTTGATGGCAGTGAGGGTTTGGGGGGAGGGGCGGTGTTTTGGATGAGTGGCGAGTCAAGCACTTTTTCCAGACACCAGGATTTGGCAATATTGTTATTCAACAAGTACACATTGGTATATGCAAGTACACATTGTTATATGGCCATACTGCTTGTCAAAATCTTTAAATGTTTCCATACCATTTGGTAAATAATTGTTCTAAGTCTCTGCTCCCCCTACAGTTGATCCAAAACCACCACTGTTCTGATGCGACCCCTAGATCTCCCCATCATTTAGCAAAACTAAAAAAAAAAAAAGTAACACCTGGTCTAGAAAGTGGCCCTCGGGATCATTCCGATTGGCCGGGGTTTGCCATATTGATTACAAACATGGTTCCTAGGGCTGATCCAACCTTCGGCACATCTGTCCTCCTTAGCAGGGCCTAGGCTGTGGCCCACAGTTTTATGTAACCTGAGGATGGCCTAGCTGGACGACAAAAACCTCTGCCACCACAATCAAGGGGGACGGGTGAGGGCTGCTGGCGCTGAGGTCACAATCACCCAGCTTGATCCAGAAAACTGTTCCCCATATGCGCAGCCCATAGCACCCCCAAGCCCATTTTCTGACCCTTCCTCCCTGGAATGCCTCTTCCTGTACTTTGACCCCTTCCTAAGTGATACCACCTCTTGCCCCTGACCTCCGGGATCCTATATGTCCCAGGCTGGCCCCATCACAGATGCATGGAGCAGGTGAGAACCCATTAGGGGTCCAGAGATCCTTAGAGCCACTCATTCGCCTTCGGAGGACATGGGGAGTGTGGCAGATCCCAGAGCTGGAAGTCCAGGATGCAGAAACCCTGTTGAAATGGTGGCCGGTGGGGGTGAGTACTCTTAGAAGCCACTCTGACCCGCCCTGCACCCTGCTAAGCGAGCACTCAAACGTCACACAAATGGGTAGACTCGGAGCTGCTGTCCCTTCTATTTCTCCTTCAACTCCTCTCTTCCCTCCAGCTGTGTCTTCTCTTCTTCTCTTCCTCTTACTCTTCTTTCCTCCCTCTTTGTCCTCCTTTTTACTACTGCAAACAAGGCCATAATTAACACTGATGTACAGCTACCTTTTTTTGAGCTTCTGCTTTCAGTTCCTTGGGGTATGTATATACCTAGGAGTGGAACCAATATGCTAATTCCACATTAAACTTTTTGTAGAACCACCCAGCTGGTTCCAGTAGCTGTACTATTTCACAATCCCACCGGGTTCCACTTTCTTAACATCCTCACTAACATCTGTTGTTTTCCCTTGTTTTAATCATAGCCATTCTAGTGGTTCTAACACCCCTGCACTGTTCATGTGGTTTTCAGTTTGCATGTCCTTCATGGCTAATATATTGGCCATCTTTTGTGTGCTTCTTGGACATTTGTATTTCCTCTTTGCTGAAATAACTATTCATATCCTCTGCCTATTTTATTTATTCTTCTTTAAATTAGATTGCTTATCTTTTTGCTGGTACAGTGTAAGTGTTCTTTATGTATTCGGGATATAGAAGCCTTATTTACTATATGGTTTCTCCTGGTCTGTTCATTATTTCTACTTCTTTGGCTTAGTGGTAAAAAATTGCACTGCCACTGCAAATGTGTGCAGCTTGAATCCACCAGCTGAAGATGGGCAATATTCCCCCGTGGCAAATGACTGTTCCTGGAAACCCACTGGAGGATCATAGGTTGGTTCTGACTCAAAAGTACACAGCAATAATGACTAAAATGTTCATTTTATCCCAGTTATCCATGTTTTTTTTGTTTCTTATGCTTTTAATTCCATATCTAAAAACCTGTTCTTAAAAATTAGAAACATTTGAAAATAAACCAGTATAAAGTGGTGGTGGTGTTATGTGTCATCAAGTCGCTTGCAACTCATAGCAACCCTGTGTACAACAGCCCTCTATCCTGCTCTATCCTGTGCCAGTCTTACTGTCTGTGACACACCTACCCCCATTACCACAGTCACTGAGTCAATCCATCTCATCAAGGGTCTTCCTCTCTTGTGCTGTCCCTCCACTCTCCCAAGCACAATCTCCCTCTCCAAGGACTGGTCCCTCCTTGCAATGTGTCCAAAGTATGTCAGACAAAGCTTCAGAATACTTGCCTCCAAGGAGCAGCTTGGTTTCACCCTCTCTAGAATGAATCTATTTGTTCTCCTAGCCATCCATTGTATATTCAGTATTCTTCTCCAGCACCACAGCTCAAAGGCATTAATTCTCCTTCTGTCATCCCTAGTTGCTGTCCAGCTTTCTGACACATAGCAAGTAACTGCAAAGACCATGGCCTGAATCAGGTATACCTTAGTCTCCAGACTGACATCCTTGCTCTTCAGTACTTTGGAGCAGTCTCTGACAGCAGACTTTCCCAATGCAATTTGTCTTTTAATTTCCTGGTTGTTAATACCAAGAGTGTTGATTGTAGAGCCAAACAAACTGAATCTGTTAACAATCTTAATCTCTTTATCGTCTATCATGATGCTGCCAGTTGGCCCAGTGGTGAAAATCTTTGTTTTCTTGATATTGAGCTTCAATCCATATTGGAGGCTGCAATCCTTGACCTTCTGCAGCAATTGCTCCAGGTCCTCTGCAGTTTCAGCAAACAGAGTTGTATCATCTGCATAATGCAGATTGTTGATAAGTCTTCCTCCAATCCTATGCCACATTTCTCCTCATACAGCCAGCCTCCCAGATAAATAAAAATTGTAAAAAAATAATAAAAGGAAAAAAATAGAAATATCCCTTTGTTTTCTTTTACTTTTTTAAATTAATTTTAATGAAAGTTTACAAAGACTTAGGGTTTCCATTCATTCATTGTTGCACTTTTCTCCCTGCCCACACCTCCCCGCTAATTCACTCTTCTCCAAGAAAAGCAAAACTCTTTCATTGTTATGCAATCCCTCCCCACAAGCCCACTTTTTTTTTAAATTTTGCTTATGGAGAATCAGTTGTCCCAACACTACTCATTAAAAAGGCTCTTCTTTTCTACCTTTGGATGGATTTAGTCAGTACTCTTGTCAAAATAAATTGACTACATAGAGGCTAATTTCTAGACTCTCAATTCTATTCCTTTGGTCTATATGTCCATTAAACACTAGACTGTTTTGATGACTGTAACTATAATATTTTGAGATTGTTCTCTTGCAAGATTGCTTTGGCTGTTTGGGTCCCCTGCCATTCCATGTAAATATGTAGACTGGCTTCTTCATTTCTGCAGTGAAGGCTGTTGGAATTTTTATGGGATTGTATCTATAGATGGCTTTAGTTATTGACAGATCTCAACTGTATTAAAATCATCTGATCAATGGGCTTCCACTTATTAAGATCTTTCTTTAATGTCTGTTGGTAATATTATATCACCATCAGCTATTTCTTTAGTTAAATTTGTGCATTTTACATTATATTTGTAAATGGAGTTGTTTCCTTAATTTCCTTTATAGATGTTGTTATTGTTATGCTCTATGAAGCCAGCACCCACCCATAACTGACCCTCCAGCAGGTTTTCAGAGGCTGTAAATTGCACAGGAGGAGACTGCCTATCTTTCTAGAGCAGAGTGGCTGGTAGATTCAAACCACCCTGCCTTTGGGTTAACCGCACAACTCTTTACCAGTAGGCCACCAGGATTCTCCTCTTTACAGACTGCTCAGTGCTAATGTAGAATTATAATACAGATTTTTTAAGTGTTGTTCTTGTATCCTGCTACTTTGCTAAATTTATTTATTCATTTTAGCATGGCACAAATAATTAAGCACTCAACTAACAGACCAAAAATTTGGCAGTTCAAACCTACCCAGAGCTATCTGTGAGTACAGGGCTGGAGATCTGCATTTGAAAGGTCACAGCCTTGTATTTCCTATTCTGCACACAGTGTTGTCTGTAGTCAGAATTAATTCAAAAGCAACTAATAACAACTTTCTTGTGGAAAAAGGGAATTCTCGTGGCAGAGTCTGTAGCACGTTGTGCTGCTAAGCCAATGCTCCAATGGCTCGAATCTACCAGCAAGTCAATAGAAAAAAGATAGGCAGACTCTTCCCATTATGATTTTACCCTCAGAAAACAAATGAAGTGTCACTGAGCAGCGGCAACTAACTTCTTGTGGAATCTTTATTTCATGGCCTTCTATACACCTTGTTGTTAAGTGCATTGAGTCTACTATAACTCATAGCAACCCTGTGAACAGCAGATCTGAACCATGACTTGTCCTGCACCATCCTTTGATATGTTCATTGGTACAGTCACTGTGTCAGTCCTTCTTGTTTGAGATCTTCCTCTGTTTCATGGATTCTTTGCCTTTCCCAGAATGAAGTCCTTTTCCAAGGATTGGCCCCTCCTGACAATATGCCCAAAGTCTGCGAGACAACATTTCCCATCCTTGCCTCTAAGGGCACCCTCGTTGCACTCCTCCAGAACAGACTTGTTTGTTCTTTTGGCCATCCATGGGATGATGGGCTGGATTTAGCCATGTTATCTGCCAAAAGTGATAACTTTAATTACTCAGTTCTGGAAAAAAAATGTTTTGGGGTTTCGTAAATGTCCTTTAACAGACTGAAGAATTTTCCTTCCATTCCTACTTTGTTGAGTATTTATATCATGTAAGAGTGTTGGGGTTTGTCAAATACCTTTTTGCCTCAGTTGAGATAATCATCTGTGTCTCGGCTTTCATTTTATGTATGTAATGTGTTTTGCTGATTTTCTTATCTTAAACCACTTTTGCATTCCTGTAATAAATCCCATATGGATTTATTACATATGTAATATGTAGCCATTTTTCTTTTGCTAGTTTTCTAGTATTTTGTTGTTTCTACATCTATATTTATAAAGAACATTGGTCTGTAGTTTTCATCTTTCTCTGGCTTTCGTATCAGAGTAATGCTAACCTCATAGAATGAGCCAAGAAATACTCCCTCTCCTCTGGTGACCTCTAGTGGGAAAGGAGTGGTGCTGTCAATCCCAAAGCAGGCGATTCTGGTCCCCTAGCAGCCCCTCAGGAGAAAGATGGGCAATCTCCTCCCTTATAGTTTATAGCCTCTGAAAACTCACTGGAGAGTCAGGTATGAGCAGGTTCAGAGCCTGTTGGCATACAATTGCTCATAACATTTCCTTCATTTCTGTAGAGTTGGCAATCATGTCCCTAATTTCATTTCTGGACTGCAGCCTCCTATATGGATTGAAGCTCAACATCAAGAAAACAAATATTCTCACCACTGGGCCAATTGGCAGCATCAGTATGGATGGTGAGGAGATTGAGATAGTAACACTCTTGGTAACAGCAGCCAGGAAATCAAGAGACAAATTGCATTGAGAAAGTCAGCTGTGAGGGACCTCTCAAGAGTACTGAAGAACAACGACATCAAGCTGGAGACTAAGGTGCGCCTGATCCAGGCTAAAGTCTTCGCAATTACGTACTATGCATCGGAGAGTTGGACAGTGAATAGGAATTATAGAAAGAGAATTGATGCCTTTGAACTGTGATGCTGGAGAATAGTGTTGAATATACCATGGACTGCTAGGAGAACAAACAGGTTTGTCCTACAGAGGGTGAAGCCAGAATGCTCCTTGGAGTCAAGGATTCTGAAGCTTTGCCTGATATACTTTGGGCATGTTGCAAGGAGGGACTGGTCCTTGGAGAGGGACATCATGTCTGGGAGAGTGGAGGGACGGCTCAGGAGAGGAAGACATGAGATGGATCGATTCTGTGATTGGGATGGTGGGAATGAGTGTGTTTGAGATGGCGAGGTTGGCACAGAATAGAACAGCGTTTAGGACTCTTGTACATAGCGTCACAAGTGACTCGATGGCACATAACAACAACAACAACATCAATCGTGTCTATTTTTTTCTGTTCAGT